ACTTCTGTTTATTTATTCAACAAACACCTGTCGATCATCACCTACGCGCCAGGTACAAGTGCAAGATGCTGGAGATACATCAGTGAGCAATCTACTTCTTCCATCTACCTTTTGGAGCTCATATTCTGGTGGTGCAGGTAAATGGAAACATAAGTAGAGGAACACAGAAAATAAGTGCTATGAAGAAAGTAAGAGAGAACTGCCTAGGTGACTTACATTAGGGACAGGGGCTTGGATGAGCCTCCTTGAGGCGACATCTAACCTGAAACCCTGAACAAGTAAAGGAGCTAGCTTTGGTCACGTCATCAGGAAGACCAGCTGCTGGAAAAGGACATCACGTTTGGTAAAGCAGAAAGCCAACAAAAATGTTGGAAATTCTCAATGAGACGGACGACACAACAGCCTCAACAATGGACTCAAACATATCAATGATCATGAAGATGGTGCAGGACCGGGCAATGTCTCGTTCTCTTCTACATAAGGTTGCCATGAGTTGGGGATAACTCAGTGGCAACTAACAACAAAACAGAAAGAGTGGAGCAGAAGAACATTTCAAACAGAGGGAACAGCACACTGAAAGATATGGAAGAAAGAGCGAGCTTGACAGTTTTCAAGGAATCAAAGAACACTGTAGCTAGAATGTAGTGAGAGGGGAACCAAATAGAGCAAAGTGAAGTAGAAAATCCAGGCTGTGGCCAGACCACTCAAGGGCTTGGAGGTCAGTCAGTCTTCCATACTATAGCCTGATGTATATTTCTGCACTCAAGATCAGATCAAAGCACTTCCCCTCTTATATTTCTTCTCCCTGTTGCTGACTGGATAATGTCCAAATGTCTTGCCATGATATTCAGGGCCCTTCCTGGTCTGGATGCTGCATATGCTTCTGCCTTGTGCCCTGAAACAACCCAGATTCACATGCAATCGATATACTCTAGCTGTGCCTCCTTTTCACAGGCCTTATTTCATGCTCTTTCCTCAACTGGAAAAGCTCCTTCTCTGTGTGATGACCACCGTTCCATCCTCTAAGACTCATCTTAAGTTGTATGACCTCTGTGAAGATCTTCCCTGAAGTTACAGGTAGAGTCAGTCAAGGCATTGTTCTGTTATTCCACGGCAACTCTACTGTGTGTTTACTGAATAATACACTCTGCTTGTATATTTCCCACACCATCCTGTGAGCTCTCTTTAAGGTCTGTATCTTATGTGTTGTTGCAGTCATTGTACCTGATACAGAGCTGGCAGTCAACACATGTTTACTGAATGAATGAATTCATGAATGAATGAAGTGAAGGTAATTTTACCCAAATGTACTGGGATGGAATACATAACTATCTGATTTCATCTAGTCTAAGGTTCAGTCTACTATTTTTTTTAAATCAAATCAAATTTAATGAACATATTGAACGTCTTCTATATGTTAACCCAATTAGCTGTAAACTATGTTGGATTATCAAGAGCAGAGAAAATCCCTAGCAAAGAAATGCAACATGACATAAAGGAACAGTTACTGGCTCTGCTGCTCATAACGTGTGAGGTACAGGGTCAGGATTCCACTTTCTGAGTGTGCATTACAGGCAGTGCCTAGCGAGCAACAGAGAAGTTGCTCACCTTGAATATGAGGAAAATAAGGTTGCTCTTACAGAGCTGAACTAGTAACAGCCAGATTATTTATCTGTGGGAGACATCGGTGGACTAAAATACCCACAACTGTTATCAAGGTACCCAAGCTGTAATCTCAGCAAGCCAGAACTGAAATGTCAGTGTAATTTAGAAAACAGGAAAGCCTGAAGCCCCCCAGGACGCCTGTAGACACTCCTCTTTCTACTGAGGAATATGCTTTATAAGATTCAGGTGTTTTGTTTCCAAACTTGTTTACGCTTTTCTCTTTATATTCATGTCTCCATCTCTTCATTTGTTCATTCGTTCATCCAGAAAATATTTACTGAGTGTCTACAATGCCTGTGGCTGGTATAGCGTGACGGAACTGACATTTTAATGGGGAGACTACCGTGAATAAACAGATACGCGATGTTACGTAGAGACAAGTGATAGGGAGAAAACAATGAAGAGAAATATTTTAGTCACGAGAAAGGATTAGTCTCCTCCACAAAAATGAATACGTTAGCTTTCGGGTTTATACACCAGCTTCTTATGAGTCAGGGAAGTGCAAGTTGGTGCTTCTGTTTTTGTGTACAGACAAATGGCCTCAGAACTGTGGTCACTTCACCAGGGCTGATGTGCTGGGAGGCCTTGCCCAGGCTGCCAGCTGGCCTCCCCTGAGCCCATCTCACTGCACATTAAAATAAACATCTCAGGCCAACGACAGCACAGGGAATCCTTTCATCTGGACGACACCACAAGGACAAGTACATTCCATTCGCGACCAGACATGGACTCAGAATGAAATATAACTGACACAGCTCGGGCACCTAAGTGACCTTCAGATGCCAACGTCAGTCAAATGATTCCAAAGGAGGCTTAAGCTCTGCTTATACTGCCAGATTCATCTGGAATGTATTACTAAATGAAGACATGGAACGGAGATTATTTTTTTAGAACTTAGCAGCCAGCTCTCTGGGGGTGGATAGCCGAGGTGACTGAGGCAGAATAGAGAATCAAAATGGTACCTACGAGTCCTAGAAGTTTACGCTGCTACAGCTGACGTTTCCGATGCTGAAATAAAAGCTCGCGTCTAACTCCATGTGAGCCTGTTTTTGGCCAGGGAAGAACACTGGAAAAGGTCTGGGTGAACTCATTGTCTATTCAACTCACCATGAACATTGAGTCCCATGAGACTGGAAGGCCACAGGAAGATGGACTGTGGTCCTGATGGGGTAACTGGAGTATCCCATGGCTGGGATCGCTCTCACCCATGTGGTAGTCTGACGTAGCACAGGGGAACATGCCTAAAAAGAACTGCTCTTGTTACGGTTGTGGTTGTTAGGTGCCGTCGAGCTGATTTCGACTCAGAGCAATCCCATGGGACACAGTAGGGTCTTGTAGGCTTTACAGGGGCAGACCGCCAGGTCTTTCTCCTGTGGAGCTGCTGGGTGGGTTCAAACCACCAACCTTTCGGTTAGCAGCCGGGCTCTTAACCACTGCACCATCAGTGCTCCTTAAAAGGAACTCCCATGATGTTAATAAAGTCTAACATGATGTCCCCTTGTGAAGATTCATATCCATGGTGTTTTCCCAGATTTGTGGATAGTTATTGTTTAGGACAAGAATCTGCCACTATACCTCAAAAATCCCTGATTTCAATGCCTACCTCAAAAAAGTTAGTCCCTTCCCAAATAACTATAAGCTCCTCTGTCTAGGTTTTCTATTTTTTCATTTTTTCTTTACCCTAGTAGCGCATTCTCCTGGTTGAAATTCACCAGAAACTCAATTCTTTCAGAAGATATAACACCTAAACTTATGAAAGATTCCTCTGGGTTGACCTCTCTGCCACCCTTTGCCCCAAACTCAGATCAACTACTAGAAACATACTCTGAGGCTTAATATTCACACTTAACCTGTTCAGTTCTATTATTGATTTTAAATACTGAAAATGGACCAGCTTCTTTGAATACTGTGTGATTATCATCGAATTTAGGAGATTTTTAATTTTATGTGGAATTTGTAAGGTTTGCAAAACACCAAAATTTTAAGCCCTTAAAAAAAAAAAGGAAAAAAGCTCCCCTGAAAGGAAAAGTTTTATGTGAAAGTATATTACGTGTCTTATGGTTCTGAACCTATGGGAGTCTTCTGCTGTGAACCGGAGTAAAATACCTTTAAGGTGACAGACTGAAGCCTAAAGGGCGGTGTGTTGAACCGATGTTTAATTCTACTGAAACCATCTAAGAGAGAGTATACTACAACTCAGACCATACTATAAGTGACATGTCAAAATAAAGATTTACATTTAATCGATTCCTGCGAAAGGGGGTATTGTTTGCATGCAAGAGACAGATTCCAAAAAAGTAGGATGGCGATTGGCCACTTTTCTAGAGACTAAGAAAAATACACAGAAGTAAAATTTCTTCTTTTAAAATGCCTTTTTGTTTAAAATTGAGCCAAAGATAACTATGTAGAAATAGTCTCACTTGGGAGAAAAAGGGGAGAGAGATTAAAAACCAATGACATAACCAAATGACTGATGAAGGAAAGAGCCTTTCCATAGAAGCAGTGCAGCTAATGAAGAAGAAAGGATGGAATCAGTGCAACATTATTTTGCAAACTTCTAATGAAATAATGGATCTAGGCAAAGATCAACTACTAACGTCACAAAAACAGACAACCAGGTATTATGGATATCCCGATAGAATATACAAAAATACCTAGGAGGTCGTCTTCTCCCTCAAATTAAACCAGAATCAGATCCAGCTAACAATTTACAGGAAACACAGGAGCAGAGGAGCATGATAGATGAGAACGTGACAATGCAAGCAGCAACACTGACAACGTGGGAAATCCTACAGGGCAAGTGACTTGGTTTCTTCAGCAAATAAATTACAAAGGAAAAAACAGGAACAAAAAAAATGGAGAATAGGAACTTCTAGATTAAAGACACTTGATAGACACACCAGTCAAAGGCATGTGTGAAATTGGTTTCGATCTCCATTCAAACGAATCATAAGTAAATGGATGAATAATGAATATATGGACAATCAGGGAAATTAGAACTACATATTTAATGATACTGGGAAGTAACTGTTAATGTTTTTAAAAGCATGATAATGGTACTTACTAGTGTTTGAAAAAGTATCCTTATCTTTTAGAAATAGTACTAACATTTTTAACAGATGAAATTATACAATGTGTGGGCTTTGCTTCATAATAACCTACTTTGGGGGAAGATACTTCAGATGAAACACGATGAGCCGATGAGTTTGTAGCTGGGTGTTGGGTACACAGGGTACATATTAACACAAGTTCATTTTAACATTCTCTGTATTACGTTAGAAATTTTTCACAATAAAATGTTTAAAAGTTGGAAAAAAGTGATGGAGGAGACTTACCCTGCTGGATATCCTTCATTTCTAAATGCAAACTAGATATCAAGATCCCCACAGTTTGAGATCGTTTTCCATCCAATAACTTGATGATCTGGAATGTTTACAAACATGAACACAAGCTGAAATGGCCGTGCAATCTTTCAGAAAGCATACCAAAAATATTCAGATTTTCACTACCCTGATTGATGAGCTGAACTGATACTACAGGCACTCTATTTTAAATAACACTTTAATTTGAAAGTAACTTAGCCACAATCAACATTTTAGAAAACAAAGAAAAAACAGCACCCAAACCTCCACCAGCCTAACACAAGCAGTACCATCTTTATAATACTTTCCTCTTATCTTGTTATCCAAATGTATCTTAAGTTGTAATTGTAACACATATGCAATTCTAACTTTTTTACGTAACAGAGGCATATGTTCATGTTGCTACTTCTTAAGTCACTTCACAACCTCTGATCTTCTTGGATGTTTTCCACTGAGTGGCTGAGTGGAAGGAACATTCTGATCTTTGCCTCAGACAATTACCAGCCTAAGACTCTGGGAAAACGACTTAACTCCCAGGAGTTCGACCTCTTCATCTTGAAGTACAAGTTTCCCTGTTATTGGACAGTTAAGTTGTGCTATTATTAATATAAACTGTATAAGACTTTGCACATAAAGCTTTAATTTTAATTTGTTTAATACTGCTCTTGTATAATAAAACACATACACGTATAAACTTTCACAGTCTTTTTAGAAACTTCAAATACCTCACCGACAACTTTTTCAACCTTTACGAATATTCCATGGGGAGCTCTTCCTAGCTTTGTGTTTCTCTAAACCTAGTAAAACAAATCAGCTCCCAGACCAATTCTTTTTGGTATAGTGACTCTGTGTATTCCTTTAGTAGACAGAGAACCCAAATTTAAAGTAAAATGATTAACAAAGAGCCTAACACAACATTAAGGAAACACACATAAATTTCATGTAAATATTCAGCCAAGAGTTCATTCATTCAACAAATGTTTGCTGTGCGTCTGCTATATGCCTGGCACTCCTCTAGGCTCTGAGGATGCAGAGGTGACTGAGACAGAGCCAGCCCTTGCCCTCAAGAAGTCTGTCGCTAGGTGACTTAAAGAATCACTTTGGCAAAATAGCTGTTAAGAGCCAATAAAGCTATTAAAATCAACAGCTGAACCAACTGGGGAGCAAATTCACAAAAAGAAGGGCCTTGGGAATTGACTAGATTTGTTCCTAATGTGCAGAATAGTGACTGACACAACCATGGTCATGGCGTATACACAGACATCAAGGAGGCAGACACAGGAACCAAATTCATGACAAGATCACAACTGAGTTGCGAAAGTTTCTTCATACAAACGTGCCAAGCCATCCAGTTAGGGCTGTGGAAACCACTGGCAGTATGTTGCGCCTAGAGGAGAGACAATGTTCAATGCAAGTCGCTCTAATAGCCAATTAAATGAAGGCAGTATGGTATCAGATTGACAACTCCAACTCGAAAGACTAGATGGGAACCTTAGGGAGCAGTGAGTTTATGTTAATAGGGGAGGAACAACTCAGAAAAAGAGGGTGAGGATGTCTGCACAACTCGAAGAATGTAAAAATGTCGCTGAATTGTACGTGTAGAAACTGTTGAATGGGTGTGTGTTTTGCTGTCTATATTCTCAACAACAACAACAAGATGAATAAATAAACAAAAGAAGGTGAGAGATCGGCCATAAGAGGGCTGAGAAAGAACCAAGAGGGGGAGAGTGAGATAGTGAGAAAAAGAGAGATGGAAATTGAGATTCTGACTGTGTTCGGGCAGGTTGAACAACGACGACAGAGGCTAACCGGCCCCCACCCTCTCATTCTAGCGTGGGAAGGACAGTATTGACGTCAGCCGCCCCTGAAATTCCGTCCAGTGACTCGGCATGGCAGGTGTTTGGAAAGAGGCGTTGCCTTTCACTGGACTAAAAACCTAGAGACTTTTTCTAAAATGTGATACTGCCTCCATCGCCTCCCTGTACTCTCTTCCCTACCTCTGACTAGTCCGATGCTGTGTAGTTGATTCCAATTCAGAGCGACCTATGGGACACAGTGGAACTGCCCCGTAGGGTTGCCAAGACTGTAATCTTGATGGAAGCGGACTGCCACATCTTTCTCCCTCAAAGCCGCTGTGAGTTCAAATAGCCAGCCTTTCAGTTAGCAGTTAAGCGCTTAACCACTGTGCCATCAAGGCTCTCCCTACCCCTGATTAAAACCAAATCAAACCAAGCCTGTTGCCGTTGAGTCAATTCCAACTCATAGCAACCCTACAGGACAGACCAGAACTGCCCCACAGGGTTTCCAACGAGGGGCTGGTGGATTTGAACTACTGACCTTATGGTTAGCAGGCTGAGCTCCTAGGTACTATGCCACCAGGGCTCCAACCCCTACCCCTGATTAGACTTTAAGAAATCTCCTTCTAAGTCTCCACATACCCTCTTGTTAATTGTTGGATAATACTATGTTTCTCAACACCAGCTAAAGTGGTAAGAACACAATGGACTGAATGGGTGTATAGTCTCACCCTTCATAGCTTCTGAGACGCAGAAGGTATCTCATCAGTGGGACAGAGAGGCTCAAAGCCCCAAGGCCCGGCAAACAAGTTCTCAGTCACCAGTGGGTTGGCTTGTGTGGCTCTGGCAGTAGTGAGCCTAAGAGCAGACCCATTTGAGACCGAGTCAGGCTCCCTGAAAGAGGTCTGGCTTATCCTGTGTAACTGCAGGATAACACCAAACAAATGACAAGGGGAAAAAATGAGGAGTGAATAGTGAGTAAAAAAGAAAGGGTAGAATAAATACATATTTTAAAACATCCTTCCTAATCAAGACCAGATATGCAAAATGATTAAAAGGAAACAGAAAAAAACAAGACATTAGACTAACAAACTGACTCAAAATCGAGTAAGGGTTCAGTCAGCTTAAAAGGCATTTGTCTGGCCCAAGATGTTGGTATACATTCAGATCTTTCTGAAACTAGTCAAGGATTTGGCTGTGCTGGTGGAATAGGAGAAGTATTCGGGGATGGGGGGAATGAGGAGAGAAAAGGAAACTTGAGGACTGAAAGGGAGAAAAAGGAAGAGAGATGCTCTGTGGACCTCTGGTCACATTTTATCAGCTTCTGGAGTTCCTAGGTGGTACAAACAGTTAAGCTCTTGACTACAAGCCAAAAGGTTGGCAGTTCAAATCCACCCAGAGGTGCCTCCATAGACAGGCCTGGTGATCTGCTTCTGAAAGGTCACAGCCTTGAAAACCCTATGGAGAAGTTCTATTCTGCACAGATGGGGTTGCCATGAGCTGAAATCAACTGCACGCAACTAACAGGAAGAAGTCCCAACCTGGTCATGGGAGCACAGACTGGAACACAAGCAAGAGTTTCTTCATTCAACACACATGGGTCAAATGATTACCATTTCCCAAGTACTGAGCTAGGAACGGAAGATGTATAAAGTTCCGCCTCTGGAGAGCTGTCAAGTTCACAAATATATTTGTTCTATTTTTTTCTCTTTTCTTGCTTGTATATTTATTAGTTTTAATTACAAAAGCAATAAACGTTCATTGTAAAATATATATATATATACAAACATACAAACTATGTTGTTATTGTTAGGTGCCATTGAGTTGGTTCCGACTCATAGCAACCCTATGTACAACACAACAAAAGGTTGCTCAGTCCTGCAGCATCCTCACAATCTTTGCTATGTTTGAGCCCATTGCTGGCAGTCACTGTGTCAATCCATCTTGTTGAGGGTCTTCCTCTTTTTCACTGACCCTCTACTTTACCAAGCAAGATGTCCTTCTCCAGGGACTAGTCCCTTCTGATAACATGTCCAAAGTACTTGGGACCAGGTCTCGCCACCCTGTCTTCTAAGGAGCATTATAGCTGTACTTCTTCCAAGACAGATTTTTTCACTCTTCTGGCAGTCCATGGTATATTCGATATTCTTCACCAATACCATAACCCAAAGGCATCAATTCTTCTTTGATCTTCCTTATTTATTGTCCAGCTTTCACATGCATATGAGGCGATTGAAAATACCATGACTTGGGTCAGGTGCACCTTAGTTCTCAAAGTGATGTCTTTGTTTTTTAACACTTTAAAGAGGTTTTCTGCAGTAGATTTGCCCAACACAATATGTCATCTGATTTCCTGACTGCTGCTTCCATGGGTGTTGTTTGTGGATTCAAGTATAATGAAATCCTTGACAACTTCAATCTTTTCTCCGTTTATCACGATGTTGCTTATTGGTCCAGTTGTGAGGATTTTTGTTTTCTTCATGTTGAAGTGTAATGCATACTGAAGGCTGTAGTCTCTAATCTTCATTAGTAAGTGCTTCAAGTCCTCCTCAATTTAAGCAAGCAAAGTTGTATCATATGCATATTGTAGATTGTTAATGAGTCTTCCTCCAGTCCTGATACTTCCTTCTTCTCCATATAGACCAGCTTCTTCAGATTATTTCCTCAGCATGCAGATTGAACAAGTATGTTGAAAGGATACAACCCTGATGCACACTTTTTCTAATTTTAAACCACACAGTAAAAACAAACTACACAGAATACAAAAAAGTAACAAGTGGAAATACTCCTTCATTCCGAATGGAAAAAAACAATGAAGTAAAAGAGCTGGACAATAGACTTCAAAGGGGGCTCGAGAAAACAAAGTAAAGTATTATAATGAAATGTGCAAAGACCAGGAGTTAGAAAGCCAAAAGGAAGAACATGCTCAGCATTTCTCAAGCTGAAAGAATTGAAGAAAAAATTCAAGCCTTGAGGTGCAATTTTGAAGGATTCTATGGAAAAAATATTGAACGACACAGAAGGCATCAAAAGAAGACGGAAGGAATACACTGAATCACCGTACCAAAAAGAATCGGTCAACGGTCAACCGTTTCAGGAGGTAGCATATGATCAAGAACTGATGGTACTGAAGGAAGAAGTCCAAGCTGCACTGAAGGCATTGGTGAAAAACAAGGCTCCGGGAATTGACGGAATACCAATTGAGATGTCTTAAAAAATGGATGCAGCACTGGAGGTGCTTACTCATCTGTGCCAAGAAACTTGT